AAAAAAAAAAGGAAAACCGAAAAACAAAAGGCATGCCAAGAAAAATATTGCTGCTAATTTCTGCATATAAACATGGCTCAATGATTCTGATACATTGAGAAAGAAAAAATGTTTATCATCCAAGAATAGTTGTTCGCAAATCTTCTGGTGAAAGCCAAAGCAAGAATGAAACAATTTAATGCGTGACGTCTTTTTCAATCAACTAATTTCCAGAAAATTAAACGAGACATGGTAAATATTACACACTCTATATCAGTTTGTTATTCAACTTTTGCAACAGATCACTCACAATCTTACAAAAATCTCACTTGAGCCAGTTTACAAACACACTACTCGTCATGACAAGATAACTCAGGAAAATAACCACAGAGAAGTGACCTATAAAATAAAGTAGACAGATACATATTATATGTGTGTGTGTGTGTGTGTGTGTGGATAACTTAGCATTTGTAAAGGGCATAAAAAGAAAAAAGGATATCGCAAATCACCTGATTCATTAAAAAACTCGCCTTCATTAAAGCTGTCATCATAAGTTTGAACGTGAGCGAATCCCATTCTCGACTTCCTCAGGTCTTCGGATGACCGATTGGCAGAATCCCTGCCATCTTCAGTATCATCATCTCCTTCGGATGTGGTAGCAGATATCCAGTCAACCAGCACATCCGAGCCACGGCTTTTCCTTCCAAACTTCAGTAATCGTTTGAACCCACTCTTCATATCCTTGCGGGCTAAATTACTATTTGATGAATGAGTCACCAGAATGGGTTTTTGTGCTGTTCCCCATTTTTTCCTCATTCGGGACGAATCAGTGTCTATTTGATTAAAAGAGTTTGAATTCCATGAAGCGGGACTTCCGCTAGGGGAATCCATGAAGGCATCAACATCAGAGGTCTCGTGAGGATAAGTAAAAGGATTTTGCCTGTGTGAATAGTTCCATGAAACGGGACTTTCCTCAGGCCAATCTTGCAAAGATTCACTGGTGGGCACTTGAGATTCCAAAGCCTGGTTAGTATGAGAAAATGTAGTTGCATCACCATTTTCTGATCCAGATTTTACGAGCTTCTCAGATTCCAGGTCCTGTTTTGGTTCTCCATTGCTAAAAATCTTCTGATCTTCAGTGTTGAAAGCCTCAAATTCTTCATCTACATCATTCTTACCCACACTCATAAACTCATCATCTTCAGAATCCCCATCATCATTTTCTTCATCGTTTTTAACAAACTCAGACACCAGGGAGGCCTTTTCTCTAGCAATACTAGCTTGAGAAACAAAACTAGCGCGGCTACCCTTTTTGAGAAAAGGCTTGGTCCCGACACTTTTCATAACCTCGAAATCAAATTTTATTGGCGTTACATTAACACCATTAGAGTCCGGGTGCAAAATTTCGGAAAATTCACTTGGATTGGCAGAGCTTTTCCTCAATGATTGCGATCGGCGGGATTTATCCTCCCTGGCAACAACAGCTTCTTCGCTAATGCTTTTACTGCGGGCATAGCTTCTTACCTGCGAACGGGTCGTTTTACTGGCTCCAGAAGAAGGCTTGGCATTTTCTTTTCTTAAGTCCAAGAAATTCGGGACGGATTGTGCAAGTGGATTATTCTCCATTTGCATTCTTCTTTTCCCAGAATTTGCAGAAGTTTTGAAGGAAGATTTTGGGATGGGAGCTGCCGAGGTGCGAGGGGTAGTAGATGATGAGCTTCTGCTGGTGAGTAAATGCTTCTTCCCCTGTACACCCTTACTGGAAACACCATCCCTTAGCAATGTGTTGTTATCTAAAGCCCTATTCTCAAGGAGGTGATTCTGCTCAGTAAAACCCAATGCTTCTTCATCTTCTTCACTGTCCCCAGACTCTAAGCCTTGCTGTCAAAAGGAAACTTTTTTACAGTCGGTTAAACAATCAAACAGGACACTAATTAACTATGTAAATCCTAAAAATTAGGAACCGAAAGAAAGAGGCTTCTATTAGTTAGAGTAAATGAGGCGTAAAAATTTCCAGAAGATACATATAAGTGTACCTGCTCCCTTTTTATAATTGACTTGCTATTCTTATACGATTTGAGTCTCTCAGCACGTCTATCAGCATTTGATACCGAATCTTGTCTGTCTGCAGATCCTGATATTTTGGCTTTCATCTCTGATTTATTCCTCTCAAGGCTATCTTGCATAGACTTCAACCGGGCTTCTTTCTCTGCTCTGTTGGAACTCCAATCTGCTCTCAGCTTTGCATCCCTTTTCTGCATATACTTGTCATAGAATTTCCCTCGAGAGCCTTCTTCTATACTGAGCTCTGAAAAATTCTTATTTATAGCATCGATTGTTTTCACGGGGGATGCAACCTCGATCTTGGTCGACTTTTTTGAAAACCTAGTGAGTTCATTTGACTGGTGAACGTCAGACGATTCAGGAGCAACATCTGCTAGTGGTTTTGTGTAGTGTAAAGTACTTGACTGTTCAACTTGTGTTTCTCTTTCTCCTGGCCTTCCTTTACGTGCGGAGTCAGATTGATCAGCGGGGACTCGCAGTTTGTGCTCGGCGAATAATCTTTCGAGCTCACTTGCTTTCATTTTCAGCTCGTTGTTATGCTCCTGATTTCCCTTCAACTGCCTTGTCATTTGAACTTGATCTGGAGGTGGAGTAAAAAAGGAATCAAAGCCTTCCTGAGCCTGTGTCACGAGTTTACCGGAATATCGAGTCTTACTGTTACCAGTAGAATTGTTCTCGTCTCGTTGAACACGTGCCTTCTTGTTTAGTTCAGATGTCAAACCTTTTCTGTTCAACTTCAGTGTCTGAGGCCCAGAATCTTCAATGCTTGAAATAGGAGTTGTGGATACTTTTGCAGAGATGTGTGAGACTTTTTCTTCAGCAACTTCAATCTCCCCAACAAATTTTACCTCTTTTTGAGAAGAAGTGGAATCCACACCTTCATTACTTTTATAACGAGAAGCAAATGCCCTTTTTATTTTAGAACCAGCTTCACTTTCAAGTACCCTGGACTCTACAGCAGTTTTTTGATTAGCCTTTTGAATTTGCTTGCTAGAATCATTCCTTGATTCAAAATCTTCCCTTTTTGAAAACGTTTTGAACTGCTCTCCTCCTTTGCTTATGGAAGGCCTGGTATAGGTTACAGAAGAAACCTGATCATTTATGTCGATGATCTGTACGTGGGACCCACTAGACTCCTCACTGCTAGGAGAAACCTTTGCTTTCCCTAGATTCCGAAACCCGACAACGTCCTCGTTTATAGCACCCGTTGAAGTTTTACAACTGTCTTCTGAACAGTTTTGATCCTCAGTCCTACAAGTGAAAGACCTCAACTGGGTCTTCCCAAGCACTTGATGTTTCGAACCACTTTCACCAGAACCCAAATTATAATTGGACTTATTGGACTCAGAAAGTAGCTCAAGGTTATGTAACGAGGCCCCTTTAGGTCCACTGCTATCACTAACCTGACCTAGACTTGGATTAACCTTAGTATCTGGCTCAGGAACAGACGAAACCTCTGCAGTACCATCATTTGAACCCAGAACCTTTTTGTCCTGAGAAACTACTGTGGAGGGGCTTTCAGTATCTTTCTTGTCAGCACTCAAGTCAATGCTCATATCGCTAGCTCCACTCCACCTTCTAAAAACTGCCTTCTCAGGGAGTCCACCGGATGCCGAAAGGTCAGATGACAGCCTACGCAACTCAACAGGCTTCACTACAACAGCAAGCTTCCCCCCAGAATTCTCTTTCTGTTTGTTCTCAAACATGTTTATCCTGTCCTGAACACTGAGTCGCCTCGCAGGCTGACTTGCCTGAATCGACACGGACTGATCTGGAGTCGAGCTTTCATCTTTCTTACCTTTTTCTAGCACAATGTCATTTGGCTTTTTGCACTCTTCCCTATCAACACTGGATTCTCTGCTGATTGTACGACTTAAGGGATGAATAACAGCTCGGGGATTGGGCTGCTGAGACATGGCGTGTTCTTGACAGGGTGGTGGAGAAGTTGGGTCATCATCGATGGACATGTCTGACCCATATGAGGAGCGGAGGGCCCGATCATCTGGTCCGGGTTTCCATGGTTGGATGACTTCGGGCCGCCTCTCGCTTAGCGATATGTATTTGCTACATGATTCACTGCAAAGGCGGACAAGGAAATGAATTTACAAAAATTGTTAATATTTTAGGAATCCCACCAAATAAAAAGAAAAACAATATGCAAAGAATAAGCATTAGAAAATGGGTACTGAAACTTATTATGAAATCCAGTTCATTTTTAGTAACTATAGGTAGTCAAGACTTTTCTGAGCTACGTTTACCCAATAATACCTGAATCAAGGAAGCCAAACCCTCGTGCCAATTCAACAAATAAGCAGCAACTAAATACAAACTTAACCGAAACATTTTGCTAGTTAAATTTCTGCAGAAGTCATTAATGAACTAAGTAAACCCTCACAAGTGATGCTTGTCGGACTATGTTATAATACTGGTCTGAAGTAATAATAGGTAATATTGACCGACACTTAAGCCCAGTTTAGTTCTACCGATTCAACATTGCTGAAGAAAGGTCGAACACATTGAAAGTTGGAATTTTTTCAATTATAATAGAACAAATCCTTACTTTAGTCGATGAGCCCCAAACCGATCTGCAAACATTTGAAGTTCCGAAACAGAGTCGACATTGAAGCCGGCTGCAGCAGCACGAGAACAAGCAGTAGATAGATCCTGCTGCACTGCAAGAAGCCTTACATCAATAGCCCTCAGGAGCTCCTTCCTAGAATTAAGGATGAGAGCCAAAAAAGAAAAAAAAAAAATATATTTAACAGAAGAAGAACAAGGATGCGGAAAGCAAAGGGGAAGAAAAGGAAATGGAGATGAAAATTTGTCTCATGAACACCCGTCAATAATATTGAGAAAGTCAAAAAGGTCATTTTAGAAAAACTTAACAGGAACAAGTTTCATCCATCTGGCCAGTGTACTACGACAAAACAAACTTAATGCCAATTTTGTAAACATCCAATATATAAAATATCATTTCATATCCCATTCAACTAAATTTACAAGGTAAATGAATTTTCTTATTGAGCTATCCACCATCTGGCTCAAATTCTCAACACATGTGTTCAGTCTAAAAAAACTCTCATCAATATGATAAAAAACAATCATCTCAGCTAGTGGGAAATATAATGATTGCGATTATTTCACAAAAGCTACTACATAAAAGCTAAAACAAAAACAAAAACAAGAAAACTGAAAAAAAAAAAAAGAAAAGTGAGAATGCCATACTTTGTAGCATCATCTCCAGCTACCATCCCAGATCCAACTCCACCTGGATTATATTATCATAAACTAATTAAATGAAAAGCCAGAGTCACAATGTCAAAGAGACTAGAGGAGAACCTACAGACTTACAGTCACGTTGAGTATAAAACCAAAAGACAAAATAATTATTCAGTCAAACTGTCTTTCCTACTCATTCTCTTGGTAACATCTGAGGCCGTCAACTGACAAAAACACTTGCCAAGAAAAGAAAGAACTGACTCGCCAATTAATGACAAGTTATCTGATGACAGACACAGTGAAGAATTTATGCATTATTCATAAGATTTCTTAAAATAATTAATTGAAAGACGCCATAACAAATTATATAATTAATTATAAAACATTATTTAAAGCTCACACCTTCAACTTATGAAATCACCCATAACTGTTAAGCCAAAACAAGAGCACATTTTGATTCCTCAGCTTATGCAAGGACCTCATTTAAAGAATTTATTAACTAACTTGTCTGAGATTCAATATAGCCTACTTTCAGAAATTTTTTTTCATCATTCATCCAAAATGAAAGACTAATACTGATACACACATTTATACACACTTAGAGGTTTCAAACACAAAATTAATATATTTTCGACGAGTGTGCCACATCAGTTATACGCTTCCCCAATTGCAGTGAAACTAAAAAAAATTGACAATAGATAGCAAGAGATCAGCAAGAAGCCAGAACCCGTACCAGAAACTTGATTTCCAGCTCCCTGACATCAATTAGAGAAGAAATTTAGTTGTGATTTTTGTTCAACAGAACTACCACTTGAACCATTACTGAAGTAAGTACCTGCGAGTATATCCTCCGAGCAGCTTCCAACTGTGACATCTCGGCATCAAAGGTATTGACCAGCTCTAAAACCTCAGGAGTGCTTACAAAACGTACAAACCTGAATATCAATATTGTCCATTCACATATTAGATGCGACAGTAGAAACCAATAACCCGCTTAGCAAGTAGCATATAACATTACCTCTCAAGTGTTCCCTTGGTGAACCACGCCTCAGCATTTTTCCGTCGCCCAGCTTCAAGCTTAACTGACTGTGAAGCAGAGGACAGCTGTTCCTCGGCAATCTGTAAATGCGAAACGAATGGTTTAAGCAATCCTGAAGCTATTTTCTCTGTGTTCCCATCACTGGAAACAAACAATTCGCATCTGTCCAAAAGAAGCTCGCTGTAAATAACTTGTATGACATAACAAGCTCAAATGATCATGAAAACAAAAATAATATATTAAAATCCCTACCGTGAGTGCTTCGGTGAGAGCTGAAATACAGCGTAATCCAGTGGGGTATCTGACTTCATCTTCTCCAAACCAAGAAAAGCCACTGCTTTCTTGTTCGTCTTTCATGCATCCACACCCATCCCCTTAAATTTCGATTTATAGGACCATATACGTATTGCACCACCTGCACAACACTCGAAATGTTTATTGCAACTCCATAAGAAAGATATATAAACACAGAGACTTCCAACATATGCCCATACGATGAGACTAACAAGATCTCAAATCAAGAACTAAATCCCATAGAAATAAACTTCAAATCGAACAACATTAACAAAAACATCTATCGAACACAATGTACTTCAAACTGAACCACATCGCCCCCAGTGTGGCAGTCTGAAAATTAACATACAATTTTCCCTCAGATCTGACCGCAGAAATAAACAAATTTGAAATGCTAAACATCCGCTCCATCTCAGTCTTATCCTCAATCAGTATCAGCTCAATTAAAATCAATGGCAAAGCAATTGGACAATCGTCCACAATACGGGCTAAAAATCAACTCAAAGACGCTGAGATCGAAAATTAACTCAATGCTCACTAAAGATAAGACGATCGAGCAAGATTAGAAAACTAAACCGACCAATGTCAATGCAGAGATCTTTGATTACACCACCCGATCGACGAGTTCAAGGTCTCGATTATCTGCAGGCCCTCTCAGGATGTACTGAATCCAAAAAAAAAAATGCTAGGGCTTTGGGATGGGATTTTGCGGAGGTTCAAGAGAAGACAACAGATGGACCATGTGTTTTGCTTTACTGCTTTATCCTTCAGTACAAATGAGAAATGTATTTACAGTGTATGTAGAGAGATGCTTTCTTTTCTGTATTTTTAGCTTCTGTCTGAGTACACACAAATACAGAGACAGAAGAGAAGCTGTGTAGGTGAAGAGAGAGAGAGAGAGAGAGAGAGAGAGAGAGAGAGTAGGAGAGTGGTGGAGTGAGGATGAAGAATGGCAATAATGCTTACGTTAATATGTCTGCCGCTTATATGGCATGCAAACACCGTAATGTTAATATGTTAAAAAAAGTAAAAATATCTATTTTTATCCCGTTTTAAAATCTTGATAAGTTTTTTTCACACCGCCCAATAAAAAACTAAATTTTTTATCCCAGAAAGTGCGAAGGTTATGCGAAAACTGTCGCATATTCATCGCATAACTGTCCATATGCAAAGGATATGCGAAAAATTGTCGCATAACTGTCGCATATCAATTACATAATTGTGCAAAGACATTGTGCGATAAATATGCGACAGTTATGCAATTGATATGCGACAATTATACGAAAAATTGTCGCATAACTGTCGCATATCAATTGCATAATTGTGCAAAGGCATTGTGCGATGAATATGCGACAGTTATGCAATTGATATGCGACAGTTATGCGACAGTTTTTCGCATAACCTTCGCATATGGACAATTATGCGATGAATATGCGACAATTTTCGCATAACCTTCGCACTTTTTGAGGTGAAAAACTTAACTTTTTATTGGGCGGTGTGAAAAACTTAATGTGCCTTTTGTTATGGGGTGAAATTATTTTTTTTTCCCATATATAATGCTTACTACTCATTTGTTGTATTCATGTTATTGTTTGTGATTTAAAAAAAAAAAAATAAAAAAAAATAAAAAAATGGGGTGGTTTTTGTAAAAGTTAAAATGCTATTATTTATTTTCTTTTGATTTTATTATTAGTGATTTTAAGTTTTCATTCATAAAAATTATATATATATTTTTTTTTTTTGGTGGGTTTCTTTTAAAAACTATAATGCTAGTATTTCTTTTTTTGTAATACGGGGAAATATTTTTGTAACTACGATGAATTAAAATCATGAAGAAATGAGAGCCACGATGATTGTGGCATTGTGTAATTTTATTTTATTTTTCTTTTTGAACTTGACTTATTCAATACAACCTGGCATTTCATTGGTCAGAAATGGCAAATTCTAACTATGGGTCTCACTGTATTTTTCTTTTGTATTTTAGAAATGAAATCTATCAATAATCTACATACTACCCAAATATTTAGAAGGTATATATATTTTATTGTTACATTTTTTTATCCCTATATAATCGATTAACAACTCATCA